TAACTTCAGTTCTGGTTCTGTTTGCTCTTGGACACTTTTTATTAAGACAGAAGTGCCATTAGCACACTCAGCTGGGAAGTCAGGATGCCCTCTGTCAGGAGCTCCCAGACCTGCCAGGCAGCCAGAACCACCCAGCTGCCCTTTACAGACACAGATGCCCAGGCCCAACCAGCTCTACTGCACACGATTCTCTGGGGTGGGAGCTCATAATTTTGTCATTTCTTAAAACAGCCGTATCAGAACATTTTCTGCCTGCGAGTGGCAGATAATTCAACCTAAACTGACTTAAGCTAAAAGGGAATTTACTGGTTCACATAATTAAAAAGTCCAAGTGGGTTTCAGGCACAGCTGAAATGCCAGCAGATACCCATCTCTCGTGATGCCACCCTTGCTTTCCTCTGCACATATTCACTTTCCAGATCACTCTCCCCTCCGAGAGAGCAAAATGGCCACACCCCCAACTCCCAGGCCAGAGGAAAAGGACACTTCTCTTCCCTGAAAGTTCAAGTCAAAGTACGGCCTGACTCTTGTTGGCTCAGATTGGACCCCCGCCCTTCCCTGTGCCAGTCACTGTGGCATGGTGTTCTGTGCTCTGATTGGCCAGGCCTGACACCCATATCCCTGGGAGAGGGGGAGGGTGCCCAGGGAGAATCGAGGTGACCACAGCTGACCCCAGGCTTCTCTGAGGCTCAGTCAGGTTGACATCCACGGCCCAAGGCACAGCAATGTTGGCGACCCCAGATGATCACATTCATAACACCCCCTTCCTCCACACACTCTCAAACGTTAAAAGTATTCAGTTCCCTGAGAGTTGAAAATTCATTTGACCTGATGCCCCATACTCTGACCCCAACTCCTAAGAGACAGCCTGGCCTTCTCTGGCTGGGACTGCTGTCTCCTAAAATGGAAATAGTGCTCACCTCTGAGACCACAGACAGGCCCTGGCTGTTGGATCATCTCTCCCAGTGGCCCTGTGTATAGTCCCAGAAAGGGGCTGTGGTGGGCCCGGCCTCATTCCTGGGCAGTCATGTAACGGACGGTACTGTCCTTGGCAGTTCCTGGGCACCTTGGGCAGTGGGGCAGGAGCAGATGTCTAGAGGAGGTGGGAGAGGACACCAGAGCTCCCCTGACTACCCACACCCCATTACCCCTGGGGGGACTGCCTGGATCCCCACCCTTGACCCAGCACTTGGCTTTGCTTCCATGCCTGTGCTTCTCCAGCAGGGGACGAGCAGCTTTTCCGCTCCGTGGAGGGCCAGGCCGCCTCGGACGAGGAGGACGCCGAGGAGAAGAAGTGGCAGGAGGGGCAGAGGGCCCCAGCGGCCGAAGTCAAAAAGCTGCTAGCGGGCCTCTCCGGCTGCGGGAGTGGGTGCGTGTGCCAGGCAGACGTCCAGGACCTGCCTGCAGTGAGCCACTGCTTGTGCAGAGCTTGGACTTGGGAGGCACACCAACCTGGTCCAGTCCTGGCTCTGTCCCCTTGACTGTTGGGTGGAGGATTGTGTGGGGATTCAGTGACCTAGGGTGGGGGGAGCACATCTCATGGGTGGTTGTGATGACCTCCCATCCTTTAGGTCACTCTGTCCCAAGAGATGCCCCAAAGCTCCAGTGTCCCTCCCTGACACAGCAGACCTTTCCCTAATCCAGTTTCTTGCAACAAACACTGTTTCCAGTCCCTCCTCCAGCCTGGCCCTGGCCAGGCACTTTCATATCTATGAGTTAATTTAGTCCTTGTGGCCATCCTAGCCGAGGATACCCAGGGCACCTCAGACACGTTGCTGGACAACCCTGAGCCTCAGTCTCCTCATCTCTGAGATGGGACAATAACACCTGTCTGGTGGAGCTTTTGTGAGGATTTGAAAACCAGGATATAAAACACTTAACAGGTGCTGGGCGCATAGTAAGCACACCATTGGAGGCAGCATTGACTTTTACTGTAAAGTGCTATGGATTTTCTGGGGTTATTGTGATCACTGAGTCGTTAAGTCAACAAACATTTATTAAGCAACTGCTATGTGCCAGGCAATTGTTTGAATCCTGGGAAAACAGTAATAAGACAAAGACCTTCCTCTTCTGGAGCCTCTATTCTAGTGAGGAATGACAAATGGGTAAGGGGCAGAGTGAGTTGCAGGGAGATGCTGGGAAGGCCTCCCTGAGAAGGCGTAATTGGAGCGGAGATGGGAAGGAAGTAAGAGAATATACAGTGCAAATGTCCGGGGAAGAGCATTCCAGGAAGAGGGAATAGCAAGTGCAAAGACCCTGAGGCATGTCGGAGGGACAGGGAGCAGGTCCCCTTGGCTGGAGCAGAGCAAGTGGGAAAGGGGTGGGGCTGAGGTCACAGGGGCAGATCAGGTGAGGCCTTTGGCTTTTCCTGTCAGTGAGGGGGGTGCCGTGGGAGGGTGCTGAGCAGGGGGTGCCTGGCTCAGCTTTTGGAACGAGGCAGACTTAGTCATGACGCCCTCTCTGAGGCTGCAGCAGACGCTGGAAAGCAGCTTCCCGCAGCATTGGTGCTCTCCTTCACTGCAGGTGTGATGGCCAGCCCGCCAAGAAGCTCATGACCTACTTCGGCCACTTTGGCAAAGCAGACCACACCTGCACCCTGGGGGAGCTGAAGGCCCACGTTGCCATGCTGGTGGAGCAGCTGGGGACCCAGGGCTGCATTGGGAAGACCCTGGGGACACCTGGGGAGGAGGTCAGCTGGGCCCCAGAGGTTGAGGGCTGGACCCAAGGGAGCTCAGTCCCATTCACAGATGAGCAAACCAAGTGAACCAAGACTCAGAGAGGAGACATGATTTCCTTTGATTTCAGTGTAATGAAGAATCTTTTACTGGAACGTGGAGCTGAGAAGTACAGGGGTAACAAGAGCTTCAGACACAATTAGATCCAGGGACTCAGACCAGATTATCTCTACCCATTCAGCTCTGTGCTTCTCTGGGTGCTGGTCTCACTTTTCCCTACTTCAGAGGGGCTTCCTCCACGTAGGGAAAGAAGGGGAAGGCAGGACCACAAACAGCTCTAGGCTTCCATCAGCCACCTGAGAAACCCCAGAGGGAAAATAAGAGTCTTACTCCCAATAAACTAAATCTCAGGGAAGGACTCCAATTGGCCCAGCCACAGTCATGTGCCTGTCCCTGGGCCAATCCCTGTGGTCGAGGGGAGGGGCAAGTTTCTGTGATTGACAGTTCCACCACAGTCTAAGGAAGGGGAGAAGGGGCAGTTCTGCAAAAGGAAAGGGAGTGCTCCTCCAAGTCCAAGAGGAGGAAGGAAGGCTGGGCAGGCAACACCAACAGATGGCCCCAAGCAAAGTGTCTGCATTACAGTTCGGACCACTTAGCATTTTTCCAGTCTTTCTACTCCATAGTGACTTCTCTATTCACAGTAATCAAATAAGATGCTATTGGAAGTTCTTCCATGAAGCCCTAGGCTGTTGCACTTTTGCAAACCGCCGTTTTGATGTAAGATAGTGTTTTTGTTTTTAATTTGTATACCTGAAATTCTAAATCTGTCCTGTTTTTCACATATCTGTGGCCTGATGCAGTCCTCTCTCCTTAAATAATAAAAACACAGCGCACTAATCATGTGTGAAGCTCTGGATGGGCTTTGTTCTGTGTTATCCTCAAAGAGCCCGATGAGGTAGGGATGGGCTGGGTGATTGAGCCCACCTTATCGGTAAGGACCCAGGGAGAGAGAGGCCAGGTGAACTGGGCTTGGAGCCGTGAACTTAACCACCCCACTGTGCCATCCCAAACCCGCTGTCTCCTTCTGGAGACCATTTGAGTGGGTCATTGGTTCCACTGTTTAGGCTCCAGCCTCTTAGTATATCAAATAAAAAACCAAGACAGAAAAAAGACAGTCCCTTGAGCATTTCAGTGAATTGGACAAAGGTCAAGGTCATGTACATATCTTGTTGAGATCTACAAAAGGAAATGAGGATGAATGTCGTTGAATGCAGACCAATTTGGCTAGTCCACACCATCCCAGCGAAATGGGGTTTGTAGCTCCTTTGACTTCTGGGGTCTCTGTCTCCAGGTGGAGCACCCCCTACTGTGAGAGGCCCTGAAGAGTCTAAAAATGTGATTGAGAAGAAGGGTTACTCACCTTGAGTCAGACTGCCTGGGTTCAAATCCTAGCTCTATTGCCCAGGGCAAATTCCTCAGCTCTTCTGTGCCTTGGTTTCCTTATCTGAAAAATGGGCATGATAACAGTACCATGCTACATGCATCAAAAGGGGTAACCCTCGTTCGTGAGCGCTGCGTAAATAGGAGCTGTGGATATCAGTGTTAGGAAGTAGACACCTTCTAGTACTCCTGTGTGTTGTGCTGGTCTTATATGTGTAATGTTGCTACATCCTCACCACCATTGCTCTATTGTCTTTGAGGTCTTCACCATGTCCAGCAGGGCGCCCTGCAGGACGCTGCAGCCCTTGCGGCTGGTGAGGAGGACTGTACATGCGAAGTGTGATGCCCTTAAAAAACCAAAAAAATCCATTGCCTTCGAGTCAATTCCAACTCGTAGCGACCTTACAGGACAGGGTAGAACTGCCTCATAGGATTTCCAAGGAGTGGCTAGTGGATTTCAACTGCCGACCTTTTGGTTAGCAACCAAGCTCTTAACCACTGCGCCATCAGGGCTCCATGTGGTGCTCTTAACCATCCTGAAATAACGTGGCAGACACAGTCTTCCAAAGGGCGCGGCCACCACCCCTTTCCGAAGTAGATTGTAAGGAAATAGGGGGCTAGGGAGTTACAAAATTAGACAATTCCTGAGATGCGTGGGCTGGCAGGGCCCTTGGGTCCTGAGCCCGCTCTCCAGTCGCATCAGCAGTGGGGCAGGCACTGGCCTGCTCTCCTCCTACCTGGAACCCAGAGTGGGCCCTGAGCACCTGAAGATTCACACCTTCCTCCATCAACACCAAGTGCGGGACTGCCCGGCTCCTTGCACGCATCCTTGCAGGTGGAAATGTGACATTGTGTGACACCCTCTGCCGGTGGGACTGACAGTCTCAGCCCTACCCCCACCCCAGCCGAGGTGGGCAGGGACTCGGGCTGGGCCAGTGGAGCCCCTCTCCCTGGCTTTCAGTCTTGGGGAGGGTGGGGGAAGAGTTAGAGCAAGGGGCTTGAGACATTCCTGCTGTCTGATCCTCATAGCTGCCCCATTCCTTAGGTCCTCCAGCTGCCAGTCCAACCGACTAGCCTGCCAGTAAATTCCCTGCTGTGTAAGCTAGCCAGATTGGTTTCTGTTGCTTGCAGTCAAAATATTTTTAAAGAAACCGGATTGAGAAGAGATGGGAGACAAGAGTCCTTGGACTAGGAAAAAAATAGGCACATTCTTACATCAGCCTGACTTGCTGTGCAGCCTTCGGCTGGGCACACAGCTCCTCTGGGCCTCAGTGCCATCCTCGAGGGGACAGGGGTGGTTTATCTTCCCTGCTGCCTAGCATGTTTTAGGAGACCAGGTGAGATGACCACTGGGAAAGAGGCCAGAGGAAGTTGCGACAGGCCACAGGCCTTGCATGAGGCCGGTGCCGTGAGTGCCAGGAAGAGGGCAGCTGTGAGCGCTGAGCCCGTTGGTCTCATAGGCAGAGCTGCAGCGGAAGGTGGAGGAGAACGAGCACCTGAGGCTGGAGCTGCAGATAGTGGAGACGGAGCGGGTGCGGCTGTCCCTGCTGGAGGAGAAGCTGGTGGACGTGCTGCAGCTCCTGCAGAGGCTCCGGACCCTGGTAGGATCACGGGAGGGAGCCGGGCACTCAGGGAGGGGACAGGGCCCTGGGGAGGGGGCCCCAGCCCGAGTCAGGCACTGGGCTGCAGCTTCCCCTTACAGTAGGCAGGTATCATCTATGTCCGTTACACAGATGCGAAAGTGGGGGCTCAGAGAAGTTAACTAAAAAGGAGGAGAAGTCTCCCCAGCTCATTTTATGAAGTTATGCTAACTTTGGTCTCAGAATAAAAGTTGTTGCAAGGATTAAATGAGTTAATGTATGTAAGTGACAATAATTCATAAATATGACCTTGAAAGGAATGGATCCTATACACTCTCCAGCCTCCACCAAGAGTCTCCAGGAAGCCCAGCAAGCGGTCTGGGGGTGGGCACCGGGAAGGGATGATGGGAGAGGGGTACCTTACTGCCTCAGGGAGCTGACAGAGGCCCCCTGTGCTCACCCCATTGAATGAGAACAAGGCAGCTTCATCTGATCCAGCCCGTCCTCGTTTCTTTTTAAGAACATTTCGAAAAGAGCTTTGGGGAAGATTTTGCTGAGCACATTGAACGCTTGCGGGGATCCCCCACAAGGTAGGAGAGCCCCCAGTCTTTCTGCACTGGGATAACGGCTAGAAGGCATCCTGATGCAGAACCCCAGCCTCAGCCCAGGCCCAGCACTCTCTGTCCTTAGTGTCTTTTCTGCAGAATGGTGCTGTTCTCCCTGCCCCGTATGCCTTGAAGGGATATCATCATGGAACAGACTTGGGAAAGTTAAAAGTGCTATTCAGTGAGAGCAGGGGAGCAAAACTCCCAGCCAGAGGCCAGTGAAGCCAAGGGTCAGTCCAGCAAGAGCAGGCAGGCGCGCCCTGCCGGCAGTGCAGATTTGCACGTTCCCTGGGCTTACTGCGTGCTAGTGCTGGGTACCCCTGTTGCTGTTGAGTGGACCACGACTCAGTGATCCTGTGTGTGTCAGAGTAGAACTGTGCTCCATAGGGTTTTCAATGACTGATTTTTTGGATGTAGATCACCAGGCCTTTCTTCTGAGGTGCCTCTGGGTGGACTCAAACCCCTGACCTTTCACTTAGCAGCCTGCTAAACGTTTGCACCACCCAGGGACTCCAGGGATTGGGTGAATGTGTTAAATATTTTTAACTCACTGAGTTCTTACAGCAAACCTGCAAGGAAGGTACTGTTAGCAACCCATTCCACAGATGAGGACACAGAGGCACAGAGAGGGCCAGTGCTGGCTGCATTCAAAGCTGGGGTTCTAGCCAGAGCTCTTTCTTAAGCACTAAGCTATCTGGCCTCCATGTTAGAGTTCAGGGCAGCAGAGTCCCATCAGTGCCAGCTTGTGCCCCGTGAAACCAAGACGAGCAAGGACAAGCTCCTGCCTCAACGGGGCCCCCAGGCTGATGGGCTGACGAACAATGGTGGAGCCCTTGCTCCCGGGGCCTCACCAGGCACCTCTGGGCAGGCCGCATTCATCCAGGTACGTCCAGTGCCCCGCACAGGGCCTGGTGTCAAGGAAGAGACCAAGAATTTTGTGCTAGAATCTCATCAACAGGGTCTTCAGTGGGAAAGGGACAGTGGGGTAGGTAGAGGCAGGGGCCTCAAAGGAAGCTGAGCAGGGCTGGGAGGAGCACAGGGCATGACAGTGGGTGCCCTGGGGATGGTGGGGCCCCAGGAAGGAGGGAGAGTGGCTCTGTGGGCCAGGGGCAAGCAGAGCTGGGCCTGCAAACTCACCCTGTGCCTCCTCTCTCTTTCCTTCCAGAGGGGAGAGCTGGGCCCTTGGCCACCCTGGATGTCCTCCACCAAGCCCTGGCCGGCTGCAAGCTCTTGCGGAGACAGCCCTTGGCTCCAGCCTCCACAGCGCCTGCCCTCAACGACTCCCTCCTCATCTCCTGCTGAGGTCGCTGTCCCAGGGATCACCTGGTCAGCCTGGCCACTGTCAGAGCAGCACCAGCCAGCCTGCCATCTGACTCCCCATGGCATTTGGACCACCATCCGACCTTCCATGGTCAGCCCAACTGCCACTGCTTCCGGGTTTATAAGGCTTGGGCCACTAGGGACCCTCACCATGGTCACTGGAACTCTGGAGGCTCTGCCTCCTTCAAAGACTGGCCTGAGCCCAGCACCTCCCACCGCAGAGACTGGCGTGCACCCCTCCTTGGACTCCTCCCAGATTCCCTGGCCACCCCATGTTCTTGCTGCCAGAGTCCACATTAAGGCTGGCAGTTGCTGGATCAGCCTGTACCTCCTGCTGTTTCCCTGCCCTCAGAGCAGTGTGCCTGCTGCTCCCAGGTTGGGAGACCGGTCCCAACCTTCAGGACACTCTTGGTCCCTTTGGGGGAAACACCACAGCCCCCAGGAAATGTTGAAGATCAAGAAAGACTAGGGGAGTTCTAAAGAAGGAGTGATTACTGTGGGCTTCCTGGTGGAAGCTGGCCTTGAACTAGCTCTAGAAGAGAGGTAGGATTTGGATGGGCAAAGAGGAGGGAAGTTGAGGTCACAGCAAGAGTAAAAGGGTGGGGGTACCTGAAACTCCTGTTTCCTAAACACGTACTGGTGCTGAGCCTCACAGGATCACAGCAAGGCTAAGACATGATGCCTGTCCCACCTAGCTTAAAATCTCATAGGAGAGAAAGATTCATTGGCCAGTGTCATGGATTGAATTGTGTCCCCAAAAATATCTGTCACCTTGGCTGGGTCATGATTCCCAGCACTATATGATTGTGTAATCTGATGGGATTTCCTTATGTGTTGTAAACTCTATCACTATGATGAGGTTATATGTGATCTCCTTATGTGTTGTAAATTGTATCACTGTGATGATGTTATACTGATGAGGTTTACAAGATTGGATAGTGTCTTAATGCAATCTCTTTTGAGATATAAAAGAGAGAAGCGAATAGAGACACATGGGAACCTCATACCGCCAAGAAAGCAGTGCCGGGAGCAGAGCACATCCTTTGGACCTGAGGTTCCTGCGCAGAGAAGCTCCCAGACCAAGGGAAGACTGATGCATCACAAAGACATTCCTCCAGAGCCGACAGAGAAAGCGTTCCCTTGGAACTGATGCCCTGAATTTGGACGTGTAGCCTACTGGACTGTGAGAGAATAGATTTCTCTTTGTTAAAGCCATCCACTTGTGGTATTTCTGTTACAGCAACACTGGATGGCTAAGACAGCCAGGAACTGCAGGGCAGTGTGGATGGAATCAAGGCAAATGGAGGGGAAGTACTAAATTGCTATGAGAGCCTAACACAGAGCCGTCCGTGTGAGCAGGAGGGTGGGGGCACTTGGGGGGGGGTCATGGGGAGAAGGGCTGGTCCATTCTGAGCAGCGGTGGGGAGCAGGAAGATCACAGGGGCCCCGATGGCAGGACGGGGACCTGGGACTTTACCTCACAGTAATGGGGAGCCATGGAAGGTTTCCAGCAGGATGAGGCTGCCATGTGCAGGATGGGCTAGAGGCAGGGGACCATGAAAAGATGCTGCTGCAGGAATGGAGGGCAAGGAGGCTTGAGCCAGAGTCATGGGGACAGAGACGAGGGGACGTGGGGAAGAGAGGGCTCTAAGAGTGGCCGTGGGGTTTGGGACTTGGCAGACGTGCCGTTATTGGTGTCACTGGCAGGGGTAGGAAGCCCAGGGAATGGGCATTCCTGGGCAGGGGCTACAGGGAGTGAGGAAGGAGGGGCTTGGGCTAGCCTCAGGCACTCAGGAGCTCAAGAGGGACACAGGAGGCAGCAGGGAGCCACTACAGGCCCTCCAGGAGGGAGACACAGGCCCCAAGCCCAGTTTCAAGATAGTTCCTCTGGAAATGGAATAAAAGAACCCAAGGTCAGTGGCCATCACAGAAGGGCCACCCACCCCTGGTCCTGTCAGAATGGGACAGGCCTGTTGGGAAGGGCCCCAAGTCCCCCCAGGGCCAGTGAGCAAGGCCAGACCCTGGGAGGCTGGTCTGAGCAGAGCAGGCTCCCCGAGCCTGAGCCCCCGGCTGACTCCTCCAGCTCTGCTGCTGATGACTGCTGGACCCCAAAGCCCACACCTGCCAGTGAGAGGGGCGGCCGTTCTATGTGCTCACGTCGCAGGGTTACATGAATCTATTGTTGTTGTCAGCTGCTGCCGAGTAGACTCCGACTCCTGACAACCTCGTGTACAACAGAATGAAAAGCTGCCCAGTCCTGCACTATCCTCACAGTCACCGGCATGTACAAGTCCATCTCACTGAAGGTCTCTCTCGCCCTCACTCGTCCTCTACTTCACCATCCTCCTCCATTGATTGATCCCTCCTGTGATGCGCCCAAAACAAGCAAATTGGACAATATTCTGTTGTGATCCATAAGGTTTTCATTGCCTAATTTTTGGAAGTAGATCACCAGGTCTTTCTTCCTAGTCTGTCTTAGTCTGGAAGCTCCACTGAAACCTGTCCACCATGGGAGACCCTACTGGTATTTGAAATACCGGTGGCATAGCTTCCAGCATCACAGCAACACGCAAGCCATCACAGTACGACAAACTGACGTTTGGGTGGTGGACATAAATCTATACATGTGTTAAAATTCATAGAACTAGAAACTCCTCCCCACAAAATCAGTTTTACTCTATGTTAATTTAAAAAATAAAACAAGAGGGCTCAGAAGACATCCCTGAAGCTCCCCCAGCTCCGACCACCTGGGATCTCCAGACAACAGACAGAGAAGGTTCTTGTCGATTACAACCACACTAAGCTTCATCCTTGGCAAGTTTCCTCATAAAAACCCTCTCGCCGCTGCCCAGCAATCAACTGTTTACCAGACATTTGCATGCCCCTCGTCTTATCCAAGGCAAGTTTATAAGGTGGGGCAGGATCTTGGGGTGCCCAGAGGAGCTACCCAGCATCACACAACAAATGAGTATCTGAGCGTGGATTGGGGTCCCCTGTCTTATGAGCCCAAGTCTCAGGTGCATTTACCCACTGCCAGGTTCCTCTGGCTGGGAAACTCTGGGCTTGCTAAGGGTTTAGGGTCTGGCTTAGTTATGGTACAGGCTAAGTTGCCCTAATAAGGAGACCCCCAAAATACTCTGGATCAAACATAATAGAAGTTTCCTTCTCCTGTAACAGGCCAGAGGTGAGTGGTGCCAGTTGGCAGGGCAGCTCTGCTCCACATGGTCACATGGGGATCCAGGCTCCTTCCATTAGTTGCTTTGCCATTCCCTGGGGTGTTGTCCTTCTTCACATGGTGGAAGCCACTTGACCAGCCAGCTCTGTGATAACTAAGCAGTGCCTTTACTGAGGATAGCCACAAAGAACAGTAGGCACCCAGCTAGAACGGCAGAGGTGTCTGTGGATACAATCAGAATTTGTTGAGACAAAATTTTAATCTGATGATTTATGGAGAGCTTAAAGCAACCTGTGAGATGTGGAGATGTTTAACATTCCCATTTTATATATGAAGAAAATTGAGGCACAGAGAGATGAAGGCAGCACCTGGGAATGGCTCTGATGTCTACAGTGTCCATTTATTTCCGCCTGTGAGCATTTCTGGCATTTGGCTACAGACAGTACATCCCTGGAAATCATATCCCAAAATATCTTTTTTCCAGGGAAATGTTATGTTTGTGAGTTTCTTTCCTTACCAAGGAATGGCAGCAAATACACCACAGAGATTATCAGTGGCTCTGAATCTGGTGATATACTAGAACCGAGCTCCAGGTGAGCTGTACCCACTACTGTTCTGATTCCCACCGTTTAGGAAGTACTTTCACCTGCCTGACCACACGTTGCCCTCACCACAGCCCTAGGAGA